ATGAACCGAATGGTTGCGATTTTTCAATTAAAGTTTTAATAAAAAAATTTTCCAAAAAGAATAGTCTTTGATGGACCTTTGGTCCAATTGCCCGAGCCCGAGCCCGGCCCGGTTCGGTTCGGTTCAGCGCGCGTGTGGGCTTCCCTTGGTTCCTTCATGGTGCATGTGTGTCCTTGTAATGTTTTGAACTCTACACAAGCTCACCCTTATATATACACTACCAAAATGTCTCAAACTTTAGATRTGRGACATTTTAAGTGTGCATACATTAAACCAACATAAGGGCTTTCCCATTTAGTMCAAAAGYCTTATCTCATTTSACMTTCATATTTTAAACCCATTTTTCATACYCAAATGTCTATAACAAGCCCATTTGATTTTAATAAAAAAATTGGTTCCAACAACTTTAAGGTTGTGTGTATTAAGAATACGTACTATTATACTACTAGAGTAACGCTTTTCACTCAAGTCAAAATCAACCTGCTCTTTCTTCTTGAATTCCTTTATAAGATCACGTCGATGCATTGTTAAACGTCCTCGTTCACCTACACTCAAAATCCGAAAAATCACAATCCATTTTTCTAAAAGAAATTGAATAATTGAAAACAAAAAAAACATCAATTCCTGAAAACTATAATCTAGGTTGTCCAACGGATACGGAAGTGTCATAACCTTTCTCTTGGCCGAGCATTAGCCGAAAGACACTCTTAGTCTATTTGGCCGTTAAAGAAAGTGGCTCAAAAAAAAAAAGTGGCTCAAATTAACAATGTTTTTGATCGTCCGTTTGTTTGGGGTCTTATATAGAAAGCAGTAGCGCAGAAGTGTGATCGTGAGGTGAAGAAGGTGGAGAAGTTAAAAACCCTAAATAATCTCTTTTTTGTTTTTCGTATTTTATTTTACTATTTTCCTTTTATTCACAAATATTTTTTTATTTAAAATTAGTTCAAATTTAATGGAATAGAAAAAAAACTTGGGCTTCCTTATATTGCAATATATAAATGCTAGAAATCATATGTGCTGCTTTCATAGATCAAATTTGATACATATGGGACATTCTAATCCTTTGAAACCGAGGCTTGAGACTATCGTACTTCGTTTCGGTATGAATTCGAACGAGGCCGATTGATACTACAAGAAGCATATGCGTTTAGTTTTCCATGTATTGAAATCAATCGGATTTTGGTTTCTCACATTGTGACTCGCGTTAGATGTTTTGTTTTTGTTGCCTGATCATTCTTTGGTTTCAAATAGATGTTTTGTATTGATTTCATGGTGGAAGGCCGAGGAGAAAATATATTTTCGACAATGAGAATGAAGTTGAAGATGGTGAAGATGACTCTGTTTTTGGTAAGATATCACAATGGAAACAAGGCTTGAAGGATGAAATGTAAAGAAGAAGCTTTATTTGATGGAAATTGTGTATGGCGAATCATCAAGTACTTCTTTAGTGAACGAGAAGCATGAGATTAGTAAGAGTTTAGATTCTGATTTGGGATATGCACACAACCATTACTTCTTCACCCACCTTCACAACAACCAACATTACCACATAATAATATCCTTTGAAAAAAGCATTTTTGTTTGTTTTGAAACCATAATAGATCAATGCCTCCTCTATCGTCTCAATTCTTCGTACACCTTTTATACTTCTTAACATCATCAATGCCTCATCAACACTTGGAGGCTCCAAATCTTTGCAATCAAACTCAGCGAGAAGTTCCTTCGGAATTCCATGTGCCTCGATGTACTTCAAAGCTATCTCAACTGTAGATGGATAACAACTATGTTTCGAGTGATATGTTCGAAGACTTGATGGATCACAGAATGTGGAAAGATACCAGGTGCAAAGTGGAATAAATTTTGTTTCCCACTTGCGGATACGCCTCATGCCACTGACAAGGTCAGAAGCAGCGTAGACCCAACATATGTAATGAAACATTTGATCCCTAATATCATCCATGAGATCCTTCTGTGACACTAACTCGTTCATCAAGAATTGATAGAGTTCCTATAATTTAGGTAAAGTGAGAGTTAAATTACTATAATAAAAGTTATGGTAGCATTTAGAGAGTTTATCAGGTTAGCTTTTAGAGTTTAGAATGTGTTTACCTCTTCTTTCATCTGCCAGCTGAGAACAGCGATGTCAATCATGTCATGAAAAAAATAGGGTCCTTTTCGATTATTAGGTTCTGCTAGTTCAATTCATGATAGACCAAACGAGGGAGAGTTTGCATCGCTTCTGGGTCTATCAGGAATTGAACTAGCATAACCATGATATTTTTAATCTGGGTCTATAGAATAAAAGGACAAAAGGATGAAAGATATGGTGCATAACACCTTTTCTATTAACAAATCGATTTGTGAATTTTTTTTTCGTACGAAACATCTTCGAAGATAAATTCGATAGCTATGATATTAAACGCCATACATTACTCTTATAAATTGGTTTGGGAGAATCCAAAACAAGCGAATTCAAGCTCTTAGAGCTTTATTAAGATAG